GATTCTTGCGCTCCCCAAATGAATGTTGAAAACAGCAGTCACCTCAAGATGCTTAATATTCAAGGTAAAGACCCTACAATAACAGAAAGGACGCAATTGTCATTTCTCCTTTAATTATTGCTGATAAATTGTTTATTAGCTAATCATGATTAAAAAAAGAAATATTAGTGTAGGCAATATATTCATTTTTACCTCACAGCCATAAAAGGCTAATGAGTTATTGTTGTCACCCTGCTGGGTGGACAGCGTGGGCACCTAATTCTGTGAATGCAATGACCTGAGAACAACGTAACATCATCTATTATAGGTGCATCTACAAAAAAATCTTACACAAGTTCAAAACTAAATAAATAAGAGTCAAAGGTCAGAGGTCAAGTTTTTTGAAAATCTTATGATTGTAATAACTCAACTTCAAATTGATACCATAGTTGCATTTATAAAACTCCTGGACATGTTCAAATCTCAGTGATCTTGACCTCAAGGTCAGGGTAAGTTTTCCGAAAACTTTGTGAGTGTGATAACTTGAGAACAAGGTGACATAGAATTCTGAAATTAATACCAAAGATATGGCTAATAGGAGGCTGAGGAGTAGCACTGACAGTGTCTAGTATTTTTTTTTTACAGTGGTTATGCATGTTTGTTGGTAGCATTATTGTTCAGTCCCTTTAATGTCAACTGTTAGTTCAGTTTAACTCTATTCATAAATGATGACAAATTCTTCAAGTATTTGAATTTAAGGATTTGTTATTGTTGCCTTTATATTTACAGCTCCCTTTTTTTGATGGTGACAATTTTGAGTATTATGTATATTTACTTCCATGTAGGAGCCACATAGATCTGAGTAGACTTCTATCCAAATAGTACATTAGAACTAATACATTTGGTAGTTTTATTAAGTTTAGTAATAGTGGGGAAAAATGTCATCACCACATAAAAAGGTTTAAAAGACTAGATGATGAGAATGGAACCTTTCTCATCATCTAGTCTAACAACCACTGACTTTTGTCTCTGAGCAATAACAATCAGAACAGTGTATATTAAAAAACAACTGTTGTTTCCATCCATGTGGTCTATGAAACCATGGGAAGTACAGCAGAAATTGTTGGCTATTCTCGTTCTTTCTTTGTGATCATGTTCTTTGACATTACATTACAATCGTCGAACCTTCTTGATTGGTGTGTCAGTTAGACACAGGGAACACTCACTTAGTGTCTTTGTTTCTTTGAAATCCCCGTAACTTCTACTTGATGTGGCTCTATCAGCACTGGCGTGATGTCAAATCTTCTGTTTCCCAGGAGTGATATCTCAGTTTCCCCATAGTTGTAGTTTTTACGTTGCTCTTAACGCCTAGACAATCTGAAGGTATTCCCCTTTTTTTCATTTTTTCCTCCATTGGCTCAGGTGTGCCAATGTAAATGAAAAAACACTCTGAGCCCTAGCATCTGGGAACGGAGTCCGTTTTCTTTAAGTGTTTTTTTTTTTTTTTATGCTGGTATGAGTCTTTCTTTTCATGAGATTTGGTCAGGTACTCTTGATCCACAAACTTTCTTCTCCCATTTTGTAGAGTCTTGGCTTTTTTGCTATTCTTTGGTTTTATATTCCAGGAAATAGGCACAGACAGACACTGGTTTGGAGCCTTAGGGTGGTTTGGGTCCCAGTGACTGGCATCAGGACTGAACACCAAGTATCATGACTTCTAGTCTATCCAGTAAATCCAGGTCCAGCTTTTATTACACCTACACATTTTTGTTTACCCAGCCTTATATTATCACATCAAGCTACAGTAAGATCCACCATAGCACAGATACTGATCTTAGTATATCACAAGAAAACATAACATGCAAATACAACTGATTTCTTTTTCCCCCCCTTTTTTTGAACATGTATATGTGTATGTGTTGCTTTCAGTGATTTATAGATCAAGGACTTATTTACTGACTGGGTCCAGGTAGACGAGCATTGCGGGAGCTCCTGTACCCAGATATGCGCTCCAGCATGTAGTTTTGTGGTTTCAGTACAACAAAGATTTGGTATCTTTGTTGTACTGAAACCTCTGGCATCATTGGCATGCCGCTTTCTTTGCTTGCAATTTGTTCTAGAGGTCACTTTGGGATTGTAGGTATTTCACTGGTCTTTGTTGTCCTCTCTGGGTTTTGTGCAGATCCAATTTGTAGTTTAAACTGTCTTTTTAGCTGAAGCATTGGTCTGGGGGCTTTGAGGACTTGCTGTGACATGCTGAAAATCCAATGATTCTGCAAACTTCTCATGAGCTGTAGCATGCCCTGTTGCCACTTCAAACTGTTTTTGGGAGGTCATGTCTTCCAAATACTCCCTTTATTTTGGGGACGAGAGCAGCTCCGGCGATGTCATCTTTGGATTTTTCGACATCCAACATCCAGAAAAATATTATAAACGACTAAAGCTCACTGCTGCACATTGAGGATTCTGATTGTTTCTTTGGTTAAAGAAGCAATTGTTATTGCAACTAGATGAGGTCATGACCAAGAATGACCAAGCTAAGAGAAGGAAACACTGCTGATGGCTAACTAACTGGACATAGTGATAGTGGACAAGCAGAGGACCAGTGACAGATCTAACTATACCAAGTGATAGAAACATCAAGTTGCTCTAGTTTGGATCCCATCTGAGATCTCTTTAACATTGTCAGGGAAATGTGGATGTACTAATTAGGTCATTAAGGAAACAGAAAATCTGTTGGAAAGTCCCTTTTACACTGCCGAAGCTGCGGTTCCTCAAACCCAGAAGACAGCAAGAACACTTTGATCTGGGACAATCAAGCAGGCAATTTCCACAGCTACATTAATAGGCTAGAACACATCAACGTTAAATGTTTCAATGGATCCATTTTAAAGTTTCAGAGCTTTAAGTCATATTTCTAAGCCATCACCTTAGAAACAAACAGCAGCACAGAGGGCGCCCTTATTATTGATATAATTAACTAGAAATAAAATGTTATTGTAAGAACCTACAATATTACATACAGAGAAAAATCCAACAATCATATGACCCCCTATGAGTGAGCACTTTGGCAACAGCAGGAAGGAAAAACTCCCTTTTAACAGGAAGAAATCTCCAGCAGAACCAGGCTCAGGGAGGGGCGGCCATCTGCCGCGAACAGTTGAGGTGAGAGAAGGAAGACAGGATTAAAGACTGTGGAAGAAAGCCAGAGATTAATAACAAGTATGATTCAGTGATTCAGAGGTCTGTTAACACATAGTGAGTGAGAACTATATTCTTTAGCAAAAAGGAAGCAAAAAGTTTTAAACCTAATCTTAAAAGTAGAGATAGTGTCTGTCTCCCGAATCCAAACTGGAAGCTGGTTCCACAGAAGAGGGGCCTGAAAACTGAAGACTCTCCCTCCCATTCTACTTTTAAATACTCTATGAACAACATGTAAGCCTGCAGTGCGAGAGCGAAGTGCTCTAATGGGGTGATGTGGTACTATCAGGTCATTAAGATAAGATGAGGCCTGATTATTTAAGACCTTGTATGTGAGGAGCAGGGTTTTGAATTCAATTCTGGATTTAACAGGAAGCCAGTGAAGGGAAGCCAATACAGGAGAAATATGCTCTCTTTTTCTAGTCCCTGTCAGGACTCTTGCTGCGGCCTTTTGGATTAACTGAAGGCTTTTCAAGGAGTTTTTAGGACTTCCTAATAATAATGCTCAGGTGGACGATAGGTTTTTGAGTTTTCCAGCTGGGGTGGACAAAGCTAAGCATCAGGCTTTCCAGTGAATTAAAAGTCTGTTTTGGTCTTTGGTTGATTAATTAGCTGGTGTGGAAAATTGCTGCCACACCGCCACCTCGACCTGTGCTTCGAGGTTTCTGATAGTTGGTATGACTCGGGGGTGTTGATTCTAATTCTAATAATCACCCTGCTGTAACCAGGTTTCTGTAAGGCAGAATAAATTGATTTGTTGATCAATTGTTAAGTCATGTACTAACAGAGACTTAGAAGAGAGAGACCTAGTGTTTAATAATCCACATTTCACTGTTTTACTCTGTGGTGCAGATGTGGATACTGTATTGTTCTTTCTTTGTGATTTTTTTAAATCTTTAAATCATTTGTTGTTGTTGTTTTGTTTGTTTGTTTTTTGTCTGTTTGGGAGCTGACATAGTCTTTAAGGGGGTGTGGTTTGGGGGGATAACAGGAGGAGAGAAGCTGCAGAGAGGCGTGTAAGACTGCAACTCTGCATCCTGGTCCCAAGTCTGGATAGTCACGTTTTGGGGGTTTAATAAATTTGGCCAGATTTCTAGAAATAAGAGCTGCTCCATCCAAAGTGATGGATGAATGTCGTCTCTCCTAACAAGACCAGGTTTCCTCCAGAAAGTTTCACAATTATCTATAAAGCCCACATCGCTTTTTGGACACCACTTAGACAGCCAGCGATTTGCTAGAGCATTCATTTCTTCTCCTTTTTACCACAGTGTTGCATGTTTCTGTAACACTTTTTATGTTGTTTATATATAATGTCTCTGTAGTAGATGGCACTCATTAGGTTGGCTGCATAATATTCTTTCACAATTCATTTGTTTCAAATTAACATTGCCCATATCCATTCATTTTAGTCTTTAATCTTAGTTATTTGTTTAATTGTGTAGTCATTAACATGTTTGCTTAGCAAGCAAAGGTTGCTGATTTGATTCCAGCCAGTGAGATAAATCCCCTTTGGAGTTTTATCAGTAATGGCATTCGGTGTAAAAACTCTCAAATCAAACATCTGTCGCAATGAAGCAGCTGAAAGTAGCTTTTTTGTGCCTTTTCTTCTATTTTGGTTATTTGTTTAAAATGAGTTAATTAAAGTCATAAAGTATTCAGTCAGTTTATACTAGTTTAAAATAAAACTGAATGTAGAACTAATGTTAAATAATTAATTTGGTACATATCAGACTCCATACAACAGTTGGAAAGTCTTTGGTCTTAAAGCTGAAAAAATGCTTATCCTTTACGCAGTGTTTTTATTTTCCTTATTTTGCCAGGTCAAGCTTCCTTTTCCTGTAGATCAAATCACAAATCTTCCAAGGAATGACTTCCAAATGCTGGTGAAAATGCACAAACTGACTTCAGAGCAACTTGAGTTTATTCATGACATCAGGCGGCGGAGTAAGAACCGCATCGCAGCACAGCGTTGTCGCAAGAGGAAGCTCGACTGCATCCTCAACTTGGAGTGCGAGATCAGAAAGCTGGTGAGTGGATTGATTGTTCTAACACACTGTCATTAGCCGTCACCCAGTGAGAAGCTGCTCTCTTCTTTGGACACGGACTCACCTTAGTCATAACCATTTCATTATAATCAGTAACATTTTATTCTCCTCAGCACTTTCAAACCATTGCTCTCCAATGACTGTTCACTGGAGCCCTAACCCTGCTGTACTCTCTCTGTGCAGTCAGATTGCGGTGGTCCCCCGTCTTCTTTCTGTTTATTTATTCTGATGCTTAAACTGAGCTGATCCTGTTCTTCTGCAAGGGATCCCTCTTCTACAGAAGCCATCCTTCTGGGTGTCACTTCTAACGACAATGTTTGTTGTGTTGACTTACTAACTATACAACCCCCCCCACCCCCCCACCCCCCACCCCACTCCCCGAAAAAAGATGTTCCTAGGCACCCTCTGTTATACTTTTTTTGTCCATTTGTCTCCCTTTCTCTTTCCTCCTCTCTGGACATCCAATCACGCTGTTTACATATAATCACCTGATGTCCAGCCACACCTTATCAGCTTCTCCATCTCCAACCTTTCACCCACTTTTAACTAGGGCAAAGGTTACTTCATGAAAACCACTTTATCATATTTTTATCTTTTCTATGTTATTCTCAAATTTATAGATTCCGTTACATATGAGCATTCAGTCACATATCAATATAGTTCATGTTTCATGCAGTTTATGCAATCTTACTTAGATTTCATTAGCTAATTCTTACATTGATTTTTACATATTCTCTTTTGATTCAAATACATTGTTCTCTTCAAAACTCCTTGTTTGCTGTTCACAATGTATTCAGTGCAATTTCTTTTATTAAATCATACATTTAGGTCAGACATTCTTTTGGATCAGTGGCTCTTTGGTGTCGCTCACTGCCATCCTACAGACACCCCAGATCAGTATTACGGAATGAAGTATAATTAACTATCAGCAAAATCACAGATGAATTATGGTTCTGTGTTGATCTATTACAACACATAATACCATTTCTTGTGTTCAAAATCATGTAATGTAGCCGCACACAAACAGATAGGATATCTATCTCCTGACATTGGACTCGTCTCTGTGCTTGTCCTGCTACACCTCAGTGCAGCCTTCGATGCTATTGACCATAATATCCTATTAGAGTGATTAGAGCATGCTGGTATTAAAGGTACCAGACTGCAATGTTTTAAATCATACTTATCTAACAGACTTATATTTTTTCAATAAATAGAGTGTTATATTTACATACTAAAATTAATGATAGACTTCCGTTAATGCTTCTCTTAAACTCTATCATTAGAAGGCATAGCATACATTTTCTCTGCTGTGCAGAGTATCTATCAACAAAGCCAGATAACACACATAATGACCTTTAATTTCCTGCATCTAAATTCAGATAAAACTGAGGTTATTGTACCTAAATATCTAACCAGGCTTACTCTGGATGGCAGTACCTTGGCCTCCAGGAACACCGTGAGGAATCTTGGATTTGTTTGAGGATCAAAATAAAGAAACACAAAAAGAAGACTTTGAGGGGACCATATGGATATGTCCGTCAGTGTGCATATTAAACAAATATGTAGGACTGCTTTCTTCTATTTTGGCAATATCTCTAAAATGAGAAACATCCTGTCTCAGAGTGTGTATTTGTTCTTCACTCATTCTGTGTTAGTACACTAATCTGCGTTAAATCAGTGTTAACATTCTCAAGCCTGACTGGAGCAGCCCAAAAGCCATGGGGAGTTGGGGTTGACTTAAGACACAGTCTTTCATTGCTGTAGTTGTAGGTTTAAGTGACTGACTTTGGCTGAGATTGTCATCTATTTGCCTTACTGAAACAGAAATCCTAAGAGGAGTGCTGGGCAAAAATGCACAGAAGAGAAAAAAGTAGTTTGTAAAAAGCACGAGAATGAATGGAAAGTTCAACAGGCAATGAGTGGAAAGCTTTTTTGTAGTGCTGTACTCTTGTGCACAGACTTATCGATTGCATCTTGAAATGAGTCATAACCTATGTATGTGTGTCTGTGTGTAGGTGTGTGAGAAGGAGAAGTTGCTGACTGAGAGGAACCAGCTAAAGGCATGTATGGGTGAGTTGTGGGAGAACTTCTCCTGCCTGTCACAGGAGGTGTGCAGGGATGTTCAGCTCAGCCCCGAGCAGGTCCAGTCGTTACACCACTACTGTCCCATGCTGCGCCCCGCCATCTCCACTGCCAGCAACAACACTGCCCACGAGCCCAAGGCCTCCCTCAGCACCAACACCACCACCAGCATTGACCTTACCACCCACTCGGGCTCAGCCACACCAGAACCAACCTTTCACGGTTCACCCGGGCCCTCGGAGAGCGACCCTGACGTGGCTGTCAGAAACAGGGCAGACAAAGATACAAACGGCCAAGACGCCACCAGCTTGTATACAAAGTCAGGGCCACCGGTGGAAAAATCCAACCAGACGGTAACGGTGGATTTTTGCCAGGAAATGACTGACAAATGTACAACTGACGAGCAGCCGAGGAAGGACTGTACTCAGTAGTGGTCGTTCTCTGTTTTGTTTTCTTTTTCATTATTTAATTTTGCTCTTCTGACAAACCCTCTCTCAGGGTTGTTGAGACAGTCAGCATCTGCCAGTGTTCAGTGAAAAACAAGCTTTGTTTGTATTTATATCTTTTTTGACGGTCGACACTAAAGTTGTCTTAACAACAGCAATACTGTTCTCCAGGAATTCTCCTATTACCGTGACAGAGTGGAACTTCTCACCAAACCCTTACGATGGTGCTATACTTGCCCCGGCAGCAACCTCTACAGTGGAGACTTTGTTCTTCATGTGTCAGACATCACAACTCAAAGTCAAACCTCATTGGACCTAAACTGCAGCTCGCTTTGTCTCTCTGCATACCAGCAGTATGTCAGTTCCTGCCTTTGTCTTTTCCTCTTCTCTCCTTGCCACTCTGTCTCTCTCAATCTCTTCTACCTCTTTCTGTCTCACTCTGCATCTCTCTCTCTGTCTGTTTCTTCTTTCACTATATCTGAGTGACACTTTTGGTCACAGCAATTCAAACTCAGGAAGAAAAAAATCCTCTGAATGTTCAACCTAATTCATGAAAAATGAGAAAACGGCTTCTGTACACACGGAAGTTGCAAACTGTAAAATGTTCATATGCAAAAATGTCTTCAAACGTCTCTCATTTGTATTGCTGTACAGAAGAAATTTGTACAGATTGTAACCGAAAACATTCCTCCTATGCCTTCCACGTGGAATTGAAAGGAGAAAAAAAAGGCTTTTGCAGGCAGTTAAATGGCTATTTTTATTTCCCACTCATCAGCAATACCATTGTATTTGGATGTTGTACTGGTGACTTTCAAGTGCTTGTTTGGCAGAAGTGTATATAGCATGATGACTGTAACAGTGATTTTGTACAGCTAGACGCCTAGATGTTTCTTTTTCACCGGGGTTATAACAAGGGAAAAATTGTTGCTTTGCTGTTTCCTGTCCTGCCTAACGAACGAGGGGAGCGTTCTTATACTCAGGAGATCAGCTCGATACACATTTAGACACAGTACACACAGGCACGCACACATCGACACACACATTTTGAGCCCCTTGCATGTATAATTGAAGACGTGTTTTCGAGAGCGTGGCTCAGGCTGGCTCTTCTAAATCTTCGACACCTCTTTAAATGTGAAAAAAAAATCCTTGTGTTTTCTTTTTGTTTTTTAAGGAAACGTATTTGTTCCCAGAACTTTAATATATCCTATTTGTTTATACACAATGTTGTCATTTGATGATAGGAGACAGCAAAAAGCCTCTCCGATTTTTTTTTTCTTTTTCAAATTTATGTTGATTACGATAAAATTGACTAATGAAAAAATGAAAAAGCATACAAACATAAATCACGCACTTTTTTCCTGGCCCCCTTACGCCCCAAGTGAGGGTCTTTACTTCAGACTGCTTAAAAGTCAGAGACTGGAGCACTTAAATTGGCAAAAAATATCTATGAAGAATATGAAAATATGCCGAAGGAAGCTAATATTTCATCTTACATGTTTATTTCTTTAGAAATTGAATAAGCTAATTCAGTTCCTTTGACGTGAAAGCAGTGTGTGTGTTGTTCAGATGATTGAGTAGCAATCATATAAGATAGTAAAGTGTTTAACCTACTTGTGCATTTGTTTTAAACACCCTACTTTGTAATGTGCATGCATGCTACCTAATAGCTATAAACCTAGTTAGTTGGTTTAGCTTTTTTTTTTTTTTTGCTTTGTGCATTCTCTCTGGAACATTCTGCTATAAAAATGCATTTTCACATTTCTATATATAAAGAATCTGAAATATGTCAACCCTTGCTAGAGGCAGAAGTAGCAGAGCTCCACACTCCAGTGCAAAGGTTGAATGAAAATGTTCATTGCACTTTAAAGCTCCAATCCAAATTGGCACTCCCTATTAGCCTAACAGGGCTGACGTTCATGTTTTCACTGTAGTTTCTTTCAAATGTTTCCTATAAAAAAGCTATGCTTATGTTAAAACAGATGAGTATCTAATACAGTACTTTGAAAATGAAATCCCTTAAAAGCTAAACCTTAATGTTAAACTCATTTATTAGCATAGTTGAAAAGCTGCTCTGTTGTCACAAGGGGTCACCATAGCAGGTAGCGCCGCACACAACCTCAAAGAGGATCCGTGTCTCCGTCCAGCGACCTTTCACGCAAATGTACAATCAGTAACATTATGGAGACACACAAGCTTATTTGCATTTAAAAGCTTACTTGAACAAAATATACTCGTTTGAAATTTTTATGAGCCACTGATGTTCTCACGTTTTCAAGTTTTCTCTGTTGTCTAAACAGTATTGCCCTATTTTACTGCTTCCAGGCTAGCTGAAAGCCACTCAGCTGGCTTTGTCATACTAGAAACCTAATTTCCTCCATGCATGTGTGAAAATGCAATAGTTATGTAAGAAGTAAATTAAGTCATTTTAAAACTTTACTTTAAAGCTTTACATTTTTATTAATAAAACGTGTTTCTGTTTTTTGGGGGTTTTTTTTTTTCAAATAACATGTAATACAAGATGCTAAAGAAATAGATTATAATTTTACTTAATAAAAATATGTTCCAGGTTTTAAGAATCTATAGCTAATTTGCCATCCGTAAACATTTCCTTATTAGGTTATCAAAACTTAAATAAATATTAGTGTCCATTTTATATGATCATTTGAACCTATTTAAGTGGGCCAGTAGCTTTTGATAGTGCTGTAAAAGGTATATGAAATGTATTTTATCAGGTTATACAGTGGTGCCCTCTTCCTGATTTCCTTTTTATATATGTTTGTCACAATTACACGTTTCAGCTCATCAAACAAATTTAAATATTAGACAAAGATAACACAAGATGAGATTTTTGTCCAGTCTCTTTCTTCTTATTGAATCATGAACATGTGATGGACATGTTTAATGTTGTTCTGGGTTCTTCTGTTACCTCCTGGATGAGTGCTGGGAGGTCACAGATCTGCTCTTGGAGTCATACTGGTAGGCCTGTCACTCCAGTTAATTACTGTTCCATGTTTTCTCTATTTGTGTATGATGGCTTTCACCGTAGTTACAAAGGCTTCAAAATAGCTTTGTAACCCTTAACAGACTGACAGACGTCAGTTACTTTGTTTTTCAGCATTTTCTTTAGATCTTGACAGTCTTTTAGCCAGCTTCACCTTGTCAGACAGGTCTGTCAGTAATCAGGCTTGAGTGTGTTTAATGAAACTGAATTCAGCTTTTCAAAAAATGTGGTAAATCACTTTTAATTCATGATTTAAAAAGAGGGGCAATTATTTTGGATAACTTTTCTACCTCTATCAATGAAATCATCATTCAGCTTACTCAGGTTATCTTTATCTAATATTAAAATTTGTTTGATGATCTGAAACAAGTGTGACAAATATGTAAAACACTAGAAAATCAGGAAGGCTTCGACATGTTTCTAACGATTTGTTTCAATTGTTCTCCCCGTGGCTCCGTATGTTTTCTTGAGGTATTCTAGATTCCTCCTCAGTTAAAATGTGGGCATGAACTGTGAAAGCCCATAAAGACTGGTGACCTTTTCAGGGTGTACATCACACTCACCCTCTGACAGCTAAGATGGGCTCCAGCCCTGCTGCAACAATGAATGGGCTAACCAGTTGAGAGAATGGATAAATATTCCAGTTATCAACATAAAATAAAAATACAGAAAGGGGAAGAGTAAACTGTAATAATATATCATTTGACATCAAGAAAAGTAAATAATATTAATAATTGAATTGACTAAAACATGTCATTTAAATTTGTACAACTAAAGTGATTTATTCATTTTCTTAACCTTTTTTTTTTAATTTTAGAGGTGACAGGAAATTCATTCATTTATTCATTTAATCGCAAAAGTCATTTCTAATGTCACTTTAATTTACTTTAGTGAACAGAATTTTAGCATGACATTTGGGGGATGTTAATATACCAAGCATAGCAATTAGCCATACTAGCCTTTTTGCTGATTTTGAGGGTTGTTTTTTTTTATTGTTTTCTATCCAAATGTTTCGAGGATTGGGGCTTTAAAGTTTGCATGACATTTATCGGAGTTCTCCCCATGACCTTTACTGATGTAAATCCTAGATGTAGTTTGAATGATGACCTTGTTTGTAAGATAATTTCTGTTTCACAGCCAGACAGAGAAAGTGTAACTGTAGTTTAAAAACCTGTTTTAAAATTGTTCAATCGTCCCTTTTTTGTACAAAGACCCACACATGCACACATATGATCACATACACGTACACGTATTGGCACAGAATGAGTGTGGAGCAATAGTGACTCCTCTACAACTGAGCTTGTTTCTTGTTTGTTGAACAGTTTATTTCTAATTTGTTCTTTTATTTGCGTGCACATATTTACTAAAGCAGAGCAGTATTTTCCCATGTTAGCATTCTGTCACATTCAAACAAGAGAACTAAAGCGAAATAATCGACATTTTGACATTTTCTACAAACATTATGCAACTCTTTTTCTAATTCTTTTGATTTGTTTAGAAACTGAGGAAACCTCTTTATATTGCTGTTTGCACACAATGAATTCAAACAGCTGTCTCATGGGAGACGATTAATTCCAATATTATCACAGAATTTCTCTGTGTTATTAATTTAACTTGACATTCCCATAGAGGGAAAATGAACGATGACACAACACTCCCTGTGCATGGTCCAAATTATGGGCATCCTCAGCAAAAATGGTGAGATAATTTAAACATCTTTATTTAACATCAACGCAGCACAGTTTGTACCATTGCTATCGCTAACACTGCTGTTTAAAATGCCACAACAACAAAAAAAATGCTGTCTTGCCTCTAGTGGTATCAACCCACACAGATGGTTTTGGTTTAATTTTGTCCAGATTTTAGTGCATGTGCTTTTCCCTGCACTCAACTATAATGGAAACAAAATTTCAGTCATTCATTGCATGATAATAATGCGATGGTAAACTCTCAAACACTGACATGTCAAACCAAAGCTATCTGTAGAATTGGGAAATGTTTTATTGTTATTTGGGTGAACCATCCCTTTAATATCTCAGGGTGCCAAGCATTTACACCTGCTCTCTGCATTGTCCTGAAGCAGACTATTTTTTTTCTTTGTTTGTTTTTACCTGCTTTGTTTGTGCATCAAACTAAAATTTCCTTCAAGCGGTTTTGATATCATTTAACCTTCAGTGCTAATTGAAACCCACACCACTCTGCCCCGCCACCTCCACAATTTAAAAACTCACACACACTTACACACACACATAGCCACTCTCTTTGATGCTCCATTGTCCAGCTAGTGGCCAACGGTCTATTTCAGCCCTCTGTGGCTAATAGCACACAATGAATTAAACTATGCAGAACAAAGGCAGATGCACAGTCGATCATTCTCTGCGTGTTCACAAAAAATATGAATTAGTGCAGCTTTAAAGTGATTGAACACAAGTAAAATGAATTATGAATCTGATATTTTGCTAAATGAACTTTTCCTGTATATTTTTTACAGTCAAACAATGTGTTTATGGCCATTACATCAGTTTTTAATTATCTGCACAATTTTGCTGTTGTTGTAGCTCTTTTTGGTTGTTTTTAAATTTTGGATTTGTTTTGTTTTGGGGGTTTGTTGTCATTGCTTCTCTGAAACAAACACTGGCTTTTTAACTCCAAAGGTTGTTCTATTGAAGAATATGAACAAAAACATGCCTTTCTCACAGATTGTTCAACTTTCTTGAAAAGAAAAAGAAAAAAAATTCTGGTTTCCTGGTCGAGTGCACAGGTTGAGATCACTGAGTAGAGTATAAATATAGAATATGTTTACAAATAGGTGTCATGTCACATTTGATCAATTTTTGCCATGTAAAACTTGCTCGGTTCAGTTGAACCGATTCTTGGTGTTGTGGAAGAGACAGAATGAGTTTCCTCACCTTGTCTTTAATCCAACTATTGGGATGGGTCAGCATTACATGGATACAAGTGCACCTCCAATATTTGCCTTAGAACTTGCAGAGGCCATAGTTCACATTTAAGTGAAGCGAGTGTATGCAAGGGCCTGAGCCCCCATCCCTTAGTCACCAGTGCGGACTTTCTCACACTTATCTACCTGTGAAATCTTCATACCTCTCATAACTGGTCAATGACTGTATCAGCAAACTGCATCAGGTGTTTTTTCTACATGCTTTTTACACAGATTATATGGATTATTGTATTAGTAGGTGCATCATTTTTAATGTAATAGCTCTTAAGCTTGTAGGTGTTGTTTTTTCTCTCATTTTTCTAAATGACTGTTTTGTGTTAATATTGTCAATTTGAAATTACTGTCATTTGCTTATTCTCTACTAAGAGTTCTTACCTAATTTTAAATGCTACATGACCCTAATTAATTAAATGACTTAATAACCATTGTAAATACGGTATTGTGAGAACCCCATTTTCATTCATTTCTATTGCTAGTGTTATATAAATGATTTTTTTTTTTTTGTCTAGACACCATTTCTCTTTAAGAAATAAAGAAACATGCATATCATGTGTTGTGCTTTGTTTTTCTCTGTTTTTGGTCAACATTTGAGGTAAATGTCTCCTTACCTTTAATTATTCCACTCAACAATCTTTGTGTTTAAGCCTTTTCACTTAAAAAACACATTTAAATTACTTTAGCTGATAGTATGCATACATCTACTGCTAACATTTTCATATGCTACTTTAACACCAGCAGATTTGAGCACTGATCAAAAAAAATAAAAAGGTAAATCTGCATGCTGTGGCGACTGTAACTTAACTTTAAATTCAGTTTTAGCTAAACAGTGCCTGTGTGTATGTGTGTGTGTGTGTGTGTGTGTGTAAATTCCCCACTCGTCCTGTGGGCAGTCTTCATCCTTCAAGCTCAGGTCCTCTGTTGTGCAGTTTCCTTTCTGTTCCCAGGACTGCATTCTTCTGGACAGAGATCTCAGATATCATTTGTGGGATCTGCTGTAGCTGCTCACCCAGTTTGGGGCTTAAAGCCCTGACTGCAATCATTACCATGGGGACTATTGTTGCCTTCGACTTCCACACCTTATTTAGCACTTTTCTCTGGTCTTTGTATTTTGCTAATGTCTTGTGTTACTTTGTTCTAATGTTGCTATCACTTGTTATAGCTACATCTGTTACTGTGCCCATATCCCTCTGCTTGTCCACCACTATTATGTCCAGTTGGTTAGCCATCACCAGTTTGTCTGTCTGTATCTGGAGGTCCCACAGGATCTTAGCTTCATCATTCTCAACCACCCTAGAGAGCGTATCTTATTTTGACCTTGGGACTTCCAGGCACAGATGTTCCTGTATACTATGATAGACAGCTTTTATGGTGCTCCATGTATGCCCTGCCTGCTAGCATTGCACTTGCACTCAGCTGTTATATGCTTGATTGTCGCAGAAGCATCTTTATACATCCAGTACTGCCATGATTAGTGTCACAATGATCTTTCTTGTTTCATCCTGGATAGTCGTTCTGACACTCACTAGTACTGTACTGTAAGCCTTCTTCTTTCCTCTTACAGTACAGTCTCTGGATACTGGTATAGGAGTGAAACCCTCCATAGTAAGGAGCTTCGTTCTCTTGATGTCAGTGGTTTCTATCTCCTCCTTTTGCCATCCCAGCAGGGTATCTGATTATTATTAATCAGATTCAATTATTAGGCCCCTCTACTATGGAACCAGATAGGAGGTGTATACAAGAGTATGTAAAAACAATAATCAAAAAATACATTCCATGGATTCAAAAAATGATATGTAGCCAGCTAGCTAACTAGACAACTAGTAGTTTATTATAACATTTTTTAAAATGTGTGGTATGCATTCATAAGGAGATTTGGGAACCTAAACAACACAAAGTTCAAAGAATGAATTTTTCTCTTGCAGATGGTAGTGGTACCACGTGATTCTATATCTTCAACAGTGACAGGCAATATTTTTTAGCTTCACTTTTGCTTTGTACACAATTATATAATACTAATAATAAGCCATAAACACCAATTCCAAGAATTCTTTCTCCTTTTTGCAGTTTCAGATTTCCCTACTATTTCCTGTTTATTCTGACAAATATCTTCGAAGACTTTTAAACTGATTTGATAAACACATCCTTTGACACAAATAGCATTTGAATTCATGCCTGACTTCTCCAAATTCTCCAAAACTACCCACAAAGTAGCTCACAATTTATAGACAGAGCAGATAAAATAAGTACTGAATATGTCATTAATTTTCTAAGTAATTGTATCTCTAAAGGTACTATGGATATGAAATTCCTACTAGATGGCAGTAACAACCCATCAATTCCACACATACAAAGAACTCAGACCACGTGTTGATAAATTAGTGGTAATAATGAGAAATGATGCTGTGAAAATGTATTGAACATGCGGCTGAAATGAATTTAATACCTCTTACAAAAGCTGTTGGTGGTGATGACAGCTTCAAAATGCCTCCTGTATGGAGCAACTAGTTGCATGTATTGCTCAGGTGTGATTCTGGTCCATTTGTCCACACAGTCTTCAAATCCTAAACCAGACCGTTTGAAATAATGATACCTGCTGTTTCAAGTAGTCCTTGGACAACTTTTTTGATCATTCTTTTCATTCTTCTAGTAAATGGATTGGCACTTTTTCTACACTATCTGAGAACTCAAAGGGCTTTACACAACTTGCTTAATTCACGCATTCACACCAGCACTTTTTTCTTTGCTCTTTTTGTCTAACATGCACACGCATTCATGCTCCGATGCATCAGAGAACAACTTGGGGTTAATATCTTGCATTTTTCCCAAAGATATTTGGCATGCAAACTGGAGGGATCAAACCACTAATCATCTGATTAGCAGGTTACACAGCAGATGGCCGCCCCTCCCTGAGCCTGGTTCTGCCGGAGGTTTCTTCCTGTTAAAAAGGAGTTTTTCCTTCCCACTGTCGCCAAAGTGCTTGCTCATAAAGGGGTCACATGATTGATGGGTTTTTCTCTGTATGTACTATTGTAGGAGCTACCTTACAATATAAAGCGCCTTGAGGCAACTGTTGTGATTTGGCACTGTATAAATAAAACTGAATTTAATTGAGTTCAGATGACTTGGTTTACCGCCTGAGCTACATTCACCTTCTGTCTGAAATCTTGAGGGAAGCACTTGGTAGCGGCCGGTTTGTGGTGACATTTGTTCTTTCCTCTTTCAAACTATGCCCCCAACAGCGCTCACTGGAACCTTCAGTAATTTAGTAGTTTCTTTAGTAATTTCTTCTGTAACCAGTGTCATCAGTATCATCAGTTACCCATCATGAGATGCTTCTTGTGTGACATCTTGGTAATGAGACACCTTTTTTTAGGCCATTAGTTGGAACTGAAGTGGCAGGATTGCTTTCAGCTGGTGCCATGACTCTCCATGCCTCTTTGCTTTCTTCATGCATTCAGTACTTTCTCCCAATGCCATTTTTTCATTTTCACACATAGCTTAATTTCTGGACATCTATGATTTGATTTCTCGCATGAGTGGATTGGATGGGTAGTTACCGACATCTGGTGACGTCAACAAACCTTTTTGAAATAGATTTACTTAGAAAACTGTGACGTTTTCAATACTTCTTTTATCTGGTGTAAACTTATAATCAAACAGTTGATAGGAATAGCAATCACACATTACATAAAGCAAATTAAGTGTCTCTTGGATGTGGAAAATAACTAAATTATTCATGCAGAAAACATACTGTATAAGCACACTGTGGACATATAATGTTGCTGCAGAGAAACAGGATGAGACTCGATTTGAAATCAGGCTCCTTTGGCTAATTTAGAACTCCCATTGGCACTCGTTTGGTCCCAGAACTGTACTTTATAGTTTACTTTTTCATGATTGAAGACAGCTCCAGAATCATGCTCTGAAAAAGGAAAAAAAAATAGGTACAATGTATAGTTATTATTCTTGTCATAGTCATGATGACACATTTATGTTTTGTTTTCTAACCTCAAGTAGTATATAGTAAATAGCAATGTTTGACTTTCTGCTAATATCTCAAGACTATCTTGTCTTGAACAGTATTAGAAAAATATATGATAGTGAGAAAATGTCTGTAAACAAGCTTGACCTTTGTTGTGGTTGAAACTGACAGGTTACGTATTTATTTTATTTTATATTACTCAATTCATAATGATCACTGGAACTGATGAAAAAAAAAGGGTTTTCAACTGAGTTTATTCAAGTAAAGTTGATTGCTATCACTGACAACAGATTTCACCAAGGAAGGGAGGAACTGAGAATGATGTTGATTATTAGGCAGCAGGAAATGTAAAGTAGTTGTGGGCCAGCTAATGAGATTTTCCAACTGGATATGTAAAAGGGTATGAACTGGACTGGCACTGAGATCATCTGATCAGCTGAGCTTTACATTGTAGATGTAGCTGCATTTGATTTTCAATATTTATGTTCACTTTTTGACAGAATGAAATTAAAAAATATAGCTATGTCACTGGGTGTGGTTTGTGGCTCAGCTGCAGGAGAGGGGTGGAGCGATGGGTTTGGGGTGTGGTGTCATGGGAGGCTGACCCACACAGCCTCCCCGGGTTGCCGTGACCTGACGGGTGTGTGTGGTGCGAAGCAACAAAGGTAGCTGGAAGGCTGCTCTAATAAAAGCAATGGAAAACGCCGCTTGACTTGCAACGCTGTGTACTTCAGGAACTTCTCATTACAATCTATGGCAAATCTTTTCTCTGGTCATAACTCCATCTTACAACATCATTCGGACTAATTACACTTGAATTGACAAAAAAAGTGGAGTTGGAGGGAATTTAAGGTAGCTTGACTTGATCAGACAACAAACAAACAGTGTATCTATAACCAAATCTTTCAACAAACAAGTACACGTTAAATCACACATATGAGACTATAAGCCTTTATTAATAGCTAAAAAGAGACATTAGCTTACCATGGACATCCTCCTCCCTCCAGCTGGAGGTGGTGGAGACACCACTGGACTCTCCCCCTCGCTAAGATGCTGGGATGCATTGTCCGTTCCACTCTGACAGTCTCCACTGTCAGACGGACTGGCCAGCTTGCCCTCCGACAGTCCTCTGGACATAAAACTGCATTTTCTGGCTGTGGGATAGTGTTCACTCTCCGGAGAATCACTCATATCGCTGAGCTCCTTACATACACTCACTCTGCTCTGCTTCCTCTGTGGGTTTCTCAGGGCTGCTGGGATTTCCATGTGGCCGGCCATCAGCGTAGGTCGAGGCCCCACATATTGTGGTTTACCAGAACCATGGGGTCCATTTGAATCATCGCTGCTGCATGACGGTTTGCGATTTTCCAGAGTGTAACGTCTTTCCATGGCACCCAGCTGGTGCAGACCTTGGATTTCAGCTTGGCTGGGGCGGCAGGAGATGCTGTGACCTTCGATACTCTGAGGGGCCACTAAGGCCAAATTCAAAGGCTGACTCTCCCCGTGAGTTTCAGGCAAAGCAGAGCAGGTCATCTGCGTGAGCTGGATTAATCTCTGTGGTGAGGAATTTGAGAGCACACAGATCTGCTGCACCATGGAGTTCTTCTTTGACCTGCACATACTCTCATCATCCCCATATTTATATCCATACAAGATTTGTTTAATCTTCTTCACCCCCAAATGGGAAATCTCTAGGAGATTGAGGAATAAAGAAACTCCGGCAATAACCAGCATGAAAACCATGAAAATGTTCTTCTCTGTCGGTCGTGACACAAAACAATCAACGCTGTTAGGGCAAGGCATCCTTTCACATTTGTAGAGTGCAGACAGTCCAATCCCATACAGAGCAAACTGTCCTATAATGAAACCCACCTCCACTACAGATCTGGTCAAAATATGGAAAACATATGTACGCAGCAAAGAGCCCCTGAGAGGAGCTTTCCTTACTTTCTTCTGTTCATCTAATTTCCTGAGCTCTTTCTCAATTCTTTTATGGTCATCCAGGACGGGATCTGTACCTTCCAGCTCAGCTTTCAGACACGCTTTCTTCCTGTGTCTCTCCTTCTCAAGGGTCCTCAAACGATACAAGGCGTGACCCATGTAGACCAGAGAGGGTGAGGATACAAAGATAATTTGCAGGACCCAGTAGCGGATGAGAGAGATGGGAAAAGCTTGGTCGTAACAGACAGTCTTGCAGCCAGGTTGCTCTGTGTTACAAACAAACTCGCTCTGTTCATCATCCCAGACATCCTCAGCTGCGACGCCGAGCACAAGCATCCGGAAAATGAAGAGGATTGTGAGCCATATCTTCCCAACGATGGTGGAATGAATGTGGACCTCTTCTAAAATACTCCCTAATAGATTCCAGTCCCCCATCTTCTGTCATATTAATATTAGCTGTAAACAAAAGAAAACTTTGTAGTTTGCAGGTCTTTCTACAAATTTAAATGATGCAGCAAAATGTACTTTACTTACATATTTTCTAGAGTCCTCGTCCCTGTGTGTTTTGGCATAAGGCCATTAATCAAATTGTAGATTGAAGTGTAGTGTAAGTGTGATATTTTAATCCCTTGGAGACAGACAACACCCTACTGTGCAGTCTGACTGACACTATTTTAAAGCTGGAAAGTAGGTCGGTTTGAAGCTATTGATCCATCAGTACCATGACCTTATAACGCCCTGAGGTTAGGTTCATCCTGCCACTTTTGTCAGGACACTAAACTAGAAATAGCACCAACTCAGATGCCAATACACAGCTCTGGACAATGTTTTCTAAATCTTGAACTCTAGGTTTTTGATAGTTTCAGGTTTTATGCAGTGAATGAAATGTGCCAGCATGCATGTCTTCAATAATCTTTCATCTTTGTTCTAACTGTTTGTATACTGTTTGTATAGTGTGCTAGCTAAGGAGCTAGCACACTGTCAGTTACACTATCACAGCTTTTCACACAGGGCTCTGCGGGTTTCATAATAAAATTGTGTTGTATTATCTTTGTCTAACATTTAGATTTGTTTGATGATTTGAAACATTTACGCGTGGCAAACATACAAAAAAATAGGAAATGAGGAAAGGCGAAAACACTTTTTCACACCACTGTAACGCGATGTGGAATTTTATTTTTATTACTCAAAAGGACAAGATTGCAGTGGTAAAGTGGACAGAACAGAAATAACATAGTGCTAACAGAACTATCATCTGCATAGATAACATGTTAACGCAAACCTAGACTACAATCCAGAAGAGTCTTTGTTTGTATTCAGAAGGATAGGGATTTGTGTTGGTATGTGCCCAACGTTTATATTGTTAACTGGTAATTATGGGAGAGTGCACCATTTTAGGAGTAACGAGAAAGTAAGTAGCAGTAACACAAATTACTTTCTCTTGCGAGTAATTTAAGTAATATATTGCATTACTTTACTGAAGTGGAGCTCGTCAATACTGAGAGGTTGCTGTTGTTGAGAGTTCATATTATTCCATAGGCCTGTGCAACCAGTGACATGAAAACGTTGAATGTGTAAATGTAGTTTCATTCGAGTCTTACCTGATACAGAAATGGTAATTAAATATTTTGGAGTTCAGCGTGTCAAAATCAATGAATTATTAAATATTTTATGATTACATTTTAAACTTTGCTTTCTGTTTTTCTCATAAATTCTCCCCAATAGAACAAAACTGATGTCTTGAGTTGAGCTGGTCAAATTCCTTTAGAAACATCATATTTTACTGGGGAAATGCAAAAAAAGTTTGTCTGGCAGCACAAATGATCCAGCTGCTAACAGATGAGACAGTCTCAAGATCAGTTCGCTATTACAGGTTACTCTCATGACTGAAACGTTTCTCCCACTGAAAACGCTACCCCCAGATGAACAGAATCAACCTGGTTGATGCACCATGACATCTGCATTCAGTTTTCCCCAAAGTCACCTAACACAAGGGTACAATGGTGATGAACATTTTTTTGTCTGCAGCGATGGAGAGCCATCACACATTTGGGGGAAAACACACATTTCTCATCAAACGGGGTATCCAACGTCCAAAAGCAGAGAGGACACCCAGTGCTCAAAATGCAGCATCCTCAACAGTCTCTAGGATGATAGTGATTACTGAGGCCAACAGCCCACTCAAGTGCAAACAAGCTCTAAATGTTACTGTTTACCTTGGGGAACAGAGCTAGTACTAGTGAAATTTTTCAAATTTTGTGACAGAAAAACCAAAAGTTTATTATAACCCAAATATTCTATTCTGTGAGTGAGAGACAGCGCACTCTTGTTACAGTTGATGATGAAATCTAAACTAAATAGGCTGCATATCAGAACCTGGATATTTTTCTCCACTTTCTTTCTGCTAGAAGCACATGCAATCAAATCAGCTAAACATGTGAACACTCTATTATAAAGGGGGTCAGGGGACCCTGTGTCCTTGAAATGATTGATCGGTCTTAGACCAATGTGGTGGAAGTGGAGCTTCAATGATTGAGTGCACCAGAAGGCACCCCCATAGTGAGGTCTGAAAGAGAACCAGGGCTTAAAATGAGATTTGGCAGGTTGGTGAACAATAAATGCTGGTGTAGCAGAGAAGCAAAGTAAATGACTCAATAAGAAAGATGCTGTACTGTGATTTCGACACAAAATATCCAGCTAGTTCTTTATGGTTTGTCCACACATGATGTTTTGAAATACATGTATCACCATTTTCTCTTTTATAAAACAATTGAAAATGTGCAGCGTGATGGCAAAACATGGGGTGACATTGTTTTCTCTGCAGTATCACCTGGAAGCAGAACAGAGGATCATTTGGATAAACCTTTGGAGACATCACTGCAAAACATTAATCATTCAAGAAAACAAATGAGATGATTACTGCATAGCTTTGACCCATCGTAACCCCTGCACGTAATGACAAAATCCATATTGTTGATTTTATATGCCTTCAAAAATTAGCAAGTTTAATGTGGCTTGTTGTGGTTCAGGAGTTTTAATGAAATGAGGAATGAACCCTCCTTCATTTTCAGTCTGTAACTGAAGATGCTGAACCCACAGTTGGATCATTGCACCCATCAGATTTAAAAAGCACATAGTAATTGGAAAAAAAAAAAAAACACTTGAACAACTGTATTTGATGAATCCAGCTTGTATGTAGAAAAGTGTGGCACCAGTCCATTAAATAAATAAAACTTTTATTTTCAGTAAAGAATTATTTACAATATGTCATTACATAGTTTTCGTTAGTAACAAGCAAACTTGTCACTGCAGCTCACAGATACGAGGGTTCATTCAGTCATTCTCTCACACACACGCACTCACAAAAAATAAGAAATGAATGTAATGATGTAATGTCCTTTACTTGGAGTGAACATGTAAACAAATGTATGAAGCACTCCCTTCCTACACACAAACACATCTATTAAAACAAGATCCAAAATTTAACACTGACTCCAAGTCAAAAGACTAAAACTATGAGCCCTGTAGATCAAGGTTTAATGGCAGGTCATGTGTTGACCTCTAAACTAAGAATCTGACTCAATATGTAAAATATAGTGAGCATACTTGTTTTGGAACCTGAAATCTTCCCATTACGAGGGTAGTTTCCCCCAAATGCTTGGAGAAAAACTAATTTACGGATGTGGGAACTGATATTATGACTCGTTAACTGTTTTGAGATCTGCAATGTCTGCAAAAGTCGAGATAGGAAGGTAAAAAAGGTGGAATCCTGTGGCCCACATCACGTCCTTCTGTGATGATCCTGTGTGGCTTGCTAAAAATCTCAAACGTTTTGAATTCCTTTCTCAACAGCATGAGCAGGTACAGTTCTGCATCTGTAACACAATATCCTTAGAGACAGTTATGAATTCCCAGCCTTTGACTCAAACCAAGCTCCAGATTTTGACAGATACAGCACTCTGTGTGGTGATCAAGTCATCATATCACCTTAATTATTGGCACATGTATGAATATGCTCCAAAATAAGAACCATATACACAAATATTCAGAGGCATCAGGTGTCCATCTTCTTAAAAAGCTTCATGAGCTGATAAAATCTGTGAGCAATCTGGGGAAAACAAACAGTTAACAGTTACTGGATGCTTACACTAAACAAAAGTAAAGAAAAAGAAAGAAAGAAACAAGATTTATCTACCTGGCCTGAAGGCTTGTTAAGTTTCTCTGACAAAGCAGAGAAAGTCTCGCGTGAAGCGCCTTTTGTCTTCATGTCCATGAGAATAGCTCGATCTTCATCTCTGATGAAGGAGATGAAAGATACTGAGTAGTCTATTTAATTAGCTAAACTTCTTACACAGTAACAATACAAGTAATCATTAGTGGCAGCCCTATAATGTAGAATGAAACATTAAAAATACATTCAGTGAGACTATTCTGATTAGATGAGCATAAACTGCCAGATCAAAATCTCTTCTTTGATAACAAGGCTGAATTTTGGCAACACTTATACAAGGTACACAGACACAATACATTCAGATAACTGCAAATTTGCCACCACAATGAGTTAAACAACCCAAAAATGTAATATTTATTAATGTCCACAGGTTCTAGCCCTCAGATAGTTATTGATCCCAAGGAGCCTTATCTGTGTATTAAAATTACTTTGATTATTATATTGTTAGTTTCATCAATTAATTTTGAACTTCTAAACATGGGGGATAGTGTGCAAAACTAGTTTCAACTCCCCCCAAAATACAGACATATTTAACAAAGCTCTTGTAGTGAATGGACAGAGCCCTTTGAATCTTAGCACTCAAAGGACTTCCTATGTTTATACAGTGTACAGCAGTAAAAGCCAAACTGACAGCCACTTGAACAGCACATGTACTAGAGCTGTAACCTCAGCTGGTTCGTTGACGTGCTCATTCAAGGAGAGAGAAAAAAATGTTTCATCAAAAGGCTACAAGTGTTAGAGCTAACTTATTTAATGTTTAGACGGAGTTGACTTCAAACCAGCTGACACCATTTCAGTGTGGCTTTATTTTGTCTAACATTTCCACAGCTTAACAACCAGCGAGCCATATTAATCTAGATCAGCTTTGTTAGAAAGATGACGTTAGACCAGTATGGCCAGGGATTACAGATATGCAGTGTCTATAAGTTGCAATGTTGAGTCTGCGAGGAGGCCAACAGGTCCATCACAGGTCAACTTCTATTTGACATTTTCTGCTGAAATATTGTGAAACCAATACTGCCTATATGCAACTAGTATTCATTCTTCTATTCAGACACTCCTTGGAAAGAGAGAACACGATGCACTTTACTACTGACCTAGTCCAGGCCATCACCACCTCGCCCTTCTTCCTGATGACATTCTTGGCAGACAGACTGCTGGGAGACAGACAGCCCATAGATGATTTGGAATCTTCATCTGCTTCCTTGGAAGGAAGCACGACTTCTGGACTCTTTTTTTCCTTCCTCAACCTCTTTGCTTTTGATTTGTCCTGGTGCTTCTTTCGTTTTCTGCCTTTGTCGGGTGAACTGCTCGTGTCCTCTGCTATCACGAGGCTTCTCTCTGACTCAGATATGTCCACATCATTGTTCTTCGAGTCTGACACATGTGAAGACAATTTTCTGCTCCTCTGATTTGTATAAGAGCTTTCAGTAGTTTGACAGTTATTTGACACAGCACATTTAGAGGGAATGAGTTTATTCTGAGACTTGTTTGAGACAGTTTTTGAAGGGCTTATGTTTTCTTCCCTGAAATGTGTCTTGCTCCCACTCCCATTAACAACTGTGTTTTCAGAAACATTGTTCAAACACTTATCTGAAGGAGAACCGTCAGACCGATTTTTCAGGGTCTCTTTGGAAAAAGTGTGTTGAGTTAGCATGTCATCTGGCTGATTGTTTAATAGTGTTAAGTCTTTACCTTCAGTGAGACAGACACTGGATTCAGTACCAGCTGGACACAAAACAGAGCTTTCAGCAACGTTAGAGAAACTGCCCGCCAAAGAGACAGCTTTCTCAAACTTTTCTGCAACACCAGCTTCACTATCCTGAGCTGCAGTGTTATCTTCTATGTGCTGCTCCTCTGTTAGTGTTTCACTTAAGCTCTCATTAGCAGTTAGAGTTCTATCTGCTTCTGGATTCGCCTGCCGAATCTTCACAATGAAATGATCGTTGGACTTTTCCATCACTAGCGCCTGCATCGCCATGTCGGGCTTAAACACAAAAGACGTGGCAGGTGTTTCTGAGGCCAAACTGCTGCTAGAGCCACAGCTGGAATTATCAGTGTCAAGAGCCAGGTGTATGTCATGCTCTGTGGCGTCCTCCCCGTCCAGCAGAGCATCCTCGCATATGTGGGCGCTGATGACGTTCTCTGGCGTGGACGTGACATACATACTTGAGGTGCATGGCTGTAGGAAGCTGAGGTGACTGTCAGATTTCAGAGGTGATGGAATGGTGAGAGACACGGCCAAATCTTCAGCTAGAAGTGAATATGACTTCTGTGAGGCCAAGTTGGCCTGCAACAGTGCTCGATTTTGCGATGGAACTTCTAACAGACAATTTTCATCAAGTAAAGCCGGGTTCAGTGTGGTCTGATCTTTTGAGCAAGAGGAGGATATTTTGCGAGGTGAAATACTAGACCAGGTGGCAAAAAGTTTAGAAGGGGTATCAAATTTAGCTGGGGAAAGCAGCTTAGATCGATAATCAAATTTTGATGGTGTGATGATGCTTATGTTTCTTTCTCCATCTTTCCTTGGAGTACTGAGGGACCAGGCAGTGTTTTCTCCAGCGATACCACTGCTTTCTAACAAGTCAGAACCTTGCAGAAGACACTTGAAAATTTCACCCATTTGAGAGTCTCTGACCAGATTGAATGTTAAACTGGAAGCTTGTTGCTCAGTGAGTAGCTCAAAGTCAGTTCTGTCAAGCAAAGAGCCATTCTGAGTGACCACCAAAGAAGGTATATTATTTTTTTCAGGAGTTGCAGGTGGATTTTTAGGAAGAAGGAACTCTGCTTGTGTATTTAGGGAGTTCATTGGATGCGACTCAGACCCATGTGTGATTCTGATGTCCTTGCCTCTGCTTCCAAGGCCCTTTTTGTAAGGCACCACAGCACAGAATTTGGCCTGATTCAGGCTGGTGGAAGCCGGCTGTGCTTGGTTCGACTCATATGATGCCTTTCTCATGGGAGGCTGTTGAGATACATTTTCACCGTCACTGTCCTCTGGCAGAGGTCTTGAGGCTTTGCAAAAGCTCTTCAGCGTTGTGTGAATGTCCACAAACAAGTAGTCAACTTGGACATTTACAAAGTCCCACAGTTTTTGCTTCAGATCCACTGCTTGTTGTTCAAATATTCGTTTCACAATGCCATTATTTGACACTTTGCCAAACACAGATTCAATGAGTTTCTTCAGTCTGGACTTGAGCTCCCCTGGTTGATCACATATCTTACCAAAATGAGCACCATCCACAAACTCTAAAAAAGACCTTTGGAAATTATCCATCATTCCATAGAAACTCTTCCTGGGAAAAGTTTTGTGAAGTTTCATGTACTTTTTCCGGATCTCGGCACGAACCAACTTAAATGTCTCCATTATTTCTTCGATGGTACAAAAAGAAGCTTTACTTGCTGCGGGACAAACTGTTTTAAAACGACTTTTTGGACTTTGTGTCGTTACGCCTGAAATTTCACGACTTTCTTCAGAAGCAGCCCGTCTCTCTGCAAGCTTCTTCTTTAAAACAGAGTTAGGACTTGACTTATTTCTGACTGGCTGTTCTAGTTTTGCCCTCTTTGTTGCAGTAGTGGGTGAACTTGCCGCCGTCTCATCACTTTCACTTAAAATTTCTCCTTCCTCCAGATCTGTGTCTGAACGACTTGAATTCAAGTCAGACACTTTATCCACCGAATTTACCACGTCTCGCTTTGCAGGAGAACCTGGATATTTGTTCTCCTTATTTACATCCAACTTCTCCGAGTTGGCATCAACAGCTGTACTGGAAAAATCTGCACAGGAAAGAAATAGATAACAGTCAGATAGAAGAGTCAAACAAATGTATAAGATGGTACATTTTTGTATTTTTTTCCAGAGCTAATTTTAAACCCAACTCAGAACAGTAACAAA